TATATATATATATATATATATATATATATATATCAATGTTTGTAGTTTATGAACTTGACTAAAAATGGTCCTAACTTGGGAAACTACCCAAATGTCCATCAACAATAGAATGATAAATCAGTTGTGGTATATTAATACAACAATAATACTAACAAAAAAGAACAAATTGTAGTTACCACATGACAAGACAGATGAATGTTATAGACTTAATGTTGAGCAAAAGAAGCCAGAAACAAAAAAAGTACAGCCTGTAAGAGTCCATTAAAATGAAGCTCAAAGAAAGGCAAAGTTAATCAATGATAATGGAAGTCAGATTGATGATTACCTTTGAGAGTATATTGACTGGGAAGGAGCTACTTGAAGTAGTGCAATTATTCTACATTATGATCTGTTGATGAGTACTCATTGAGCTATGCAATTAAAATTTGTGTCCTTTACTGTATGTACTTCAGTAAAAAATAGAAAAGAAAATTTAATAATGTATAATTTAAGGAAAAATAAAACATTATGGAAATGCTCTAAGACACAGGATATTTCCAGTCCATCTATGTATGGGTTCATAACTACTATGGTATGAATGTGTCCTCCCAAAATTCATATGTTGAAAACCTATACCCAAGGCGATGGTAATAGGAGAAGGCATCTTTGGGAGCTGATTAGGTCATGAGGACAGATCCCTCATGCAATTAAGTGCCCTTAAGCTAGCTTTCTCCCCTTCTACCATGTGAAGATAAAAAACACAAAAAAAAATCTGTGACCCAGAAAAGGGTCCTCACCTGATTGTGCTGTTCTCCTGATCTTGGACTTTCAGCTTTCAGACCTGTGAACAATAAGTTTCTGTTGTTTATAAGCCACCCAGGCTATGGTATTTTGTTATAATAATCTGAATCAACTAAGGTAAGAACTATACTTAGGCCCATTAACTTTGTATTTTGTAAATGTTTGCAAAAATTGGATTCACAATATGAATTTTTAAAATTGATATGCAGTCCTATATTAGTTTCAAGTATACAACACAGTGGTTCAACAGTTACCCATGTTATTAAATCCTCACCCCCACTAGTACAGCTACTATTTGACAACATAGAAAAATGTTACAGAATAATTGGCTATATTCTCCAAGCTATACTATCCCTGTGACCAATCTATATTATGATTGAGAATTTTTGTGCCCCTTTATCCACCTTACCCTCCTCCTCTCCCCCCAGCCTTTCCCCCATGGTGACCACCAGTCATGTCTCAGTGTCTATGAGTCTACTGCTGTTTTATTCATTGTTTTGTTTTGTATTTATAGTCCACAAATAAGTGAAATCACATGGTATTTGTCTTTCTCCACCTGGCTTATTTCACTCAGCATAACACCCTCTAGGTCCATCCTGTTGTCAAAAATGACAAAATTTCTTTTCATTTTATGGCTGAATAATATTCCATTGTGCATATGTACCACCTCTTCTTTATCCATTCATCTATTGATGGACACTTAGGTTGTTTCCATATCTTGGCTATTGTAAATAATGCAGCAATACACCTAGGAGTGCATATATCTTTTTGAATCAGGGATTTTGTTTTCTTTGGGGAAATTCCTAGAAGTGGAATTACTGGGTTGCACTGTATTTCTATTTTTAGAACCTCCATACTGGTTTCCACAGACACTGCACAAATTGACATTCCTACCAACAGTGTAGGAGGGTTTCCTTTACTCCACATCCTCACCAACACTTGTCATTTCTTGTCTTTGGTTATGGTATTAGGAGAAGGTATCTTTGGGAGGTGATTAGGTCATGAGGCCAGATCCCTCATGCGATTAAGTGCCCTTTAGCTAGCTTTCTCCCCTTCTACCATGTGAAGATAAAAAACAAAAAACCATTCTGACTGGTGTGAGGTGATATCTCATTTTGGTTTTGATTTGCATTTCCCTGGTGATTAGCAATGTGCAGCATCTTTTCATATGCTTATGGGCCATTTGTTGGCTTGAGGGCCAACTTACTGGAGAAATGTCTGCTTAGGTCCTCTGCCCATATTTTAAATTAGGTTATTTGTTTTTTTTTGGTGTTGAAGCATATGAGCTCATTATATATTTTGCATGTTAATCCCTGGTGAAAACTATTTAGCCTTAGTAATATTTCCATTTACAGTAGTCCTTTTAACATATCCTGTAATGCTGGTTCAGTTGTTATTAAGTCTTTGAGCCTCTGTTTATCTTAAAATTGTTTAATTTCTGCTTCAAATTTAAATGATAATCTTGCTGGGTAAAGAATTCTTGATTGAAGGTCCTTCTGTTTCAGTACATTAAATATTCCATGCCTCTCCTTCTTGGCTGTAAAATTTCTGCTGAGGAGTCTGCTGATAGTCTGATGGGGTTTCTTTTATAAGTAAGGAAAGTCTGATGGGGTTTCCTTTTTCTCTGGCTGCTTTCATTACTCTCTCCTTATACTTAATCTTTGTCATTTTAATTATTATATGTCTTGGTGTTGTCTTCCTGGGGTTCCTTTTGTTAGGGGCTCTCTGTAGTTCCATGACCTGAGTGTTTAGTTCCTTCCCCAGATCAGGGAAGTTTTCAACAATTATTTCCTCAAAGACACTTTCTATCCCTTTGTCTCTCTCTCTCCTCTTTCTGGTACCCCTATTATGCAAATATTGTATCATTTGAAGTGATCACACTCCTCCCTTATTCTTTCATTCCTAAAGACCCTTTTTTCACTCTGTTCCTCAGGTTTGTTGTGTTCTTGTTCTCTAATTTCCATCTCATTGAGTGTTTCCTCTACTTGCATAAATTTATTATTAATTCCCTACATTTTGTGTTTTATTTCAGTTACTGTATTCTTCAGCTCTTGTATCTCTTTGTTGATGAGATCTTTAATATATTTCTGCAGATCAGTGAGCCTATTTATGACTTTCACTGTGAAATATTTATCAAGAAGATTGGTGATCTCCATTTCATAGGCCTCTTTCCAGTGTCTTATCCTGTAGTTTTGTTGGGAACATATTCCTCTGCCTCCTCATTTTGTCAGGGTTTCTCTGTTTCTTCCTTTGTATTATATGTACCTGCTATACTTCCTGATCTAGAGAGTAATGACTTTTAAGAAGGTGTCCTGTGGTACACAGAAACTCAGGTCCCTTTCTTCTCCAGTGCCTGGTTCTCCTTTGCTGTGGATTCCCAATTGCTGCTGGTTGGCAATGGATGGGGCTCCTTATCTGTCTGCTGGCAGTGGTTTATCTCAGTCTTCTGAGCCTGGAGTTTGGCTTAGACAGGCCTGTGTGATCAGAGCAGTAGTTTCTCCTGGGATCATTTTAGGTGGGGCTGCCCTTTGCCTGCCTTGTAGCAATGGCTGGGCTGCTGGGTTAATGGGCTGGGTGCGACGGTAGGGCAGGTTGCACCATGGCAGGGTGCACAGGCTTACAGTGTGACAGGTCACCCATTTGCAGAGCATGTTGGTGCTGAGCAGTGGTGGCCAGTCATGTGGTGGGAGGGCATGCAGTGTATAGCAGCAGGGGATGGTGCATAGCAGCAGTGAATCGCTGGTACTGGGAGGGCGCATGGGCATGCTGAAGCAATGAGTTGCATGGTGGAAGACTGCACAGGCTTGTGGAGGTGGCCTGACATGAATGGTGGGTGGGGTGCACCAGCGGGTGGGCACAGAGGTAGCGAGTCACACAGTGGGAGGCCCCACCAGTGGTGCATGGCTGTTGCAGCAGTGAGTCCTGTGGGTGCCCCCTGGCAGCAGCGAGGCATACAGCACCAGGCTTGGCCACCCATGGGGAGAAAGATTTTGGAGCTGGCTCCTGCAAGGGTCTCCCCAGTTGGACTGAAACAGGGCCATGAAATCTGGGAGAGTATCCCAGCGGAGCATGCCTGTTTCCCACAGGCAGCTGGTGTCTCAGCCTCCTAGAGTGTTTCAGCTGTCCCTGGTGTTCAGTCCTGCTAATCACCAGAACCCCATTTAATGTGGACTCGTGTTCCTGGAGCAGATCTCCATGGCCAGGTTTGCAGAGTTCCTGGACTCCTACCCCCTCCCTGCTCTGTTCCCCTTCCTCCTGCTTATGGGCTGGGCTGGGGCAAGGGTTTGGGTCCCACTCAATCTTGGCTCTGCCACTTAACCTGTTTCTGTATGGTCTTCTCTTCCAGGTATAGGTGGTCTGTTCTGCAGTCTTCAGTTTGTTTTCAGTTTTAGTTGTATTTGCTTCCTTTGAGTGTGTGTGGAAGGAGATTCTGTCTTGCCTTCCTACTCCACCATTTTGAGCCCCAACTCCTTCACAATATGAAATAAAAAAAAAATATCTTTAGTAGGATCTTAATAAATAAATAAATATGACAGTAAAGATTATTCATGAAAATTGACGTAAACTCTCAATTTTCTCTCTCTGAGTGTCTGGGAGAAAATGTCTTCAGTGTAGTGGGGAAATAATCTCCATTCAACCAGGTCTGATCTAATCTATATAGTCTTTTTTTCTTTTCCTCATTTTGATTCTGCTGATTCCATTTTCCTGTCATGTTTTCAATGTTTTCACTGTCCCTTACCATGGATGTTAGGAATGTCTGATTCCTTGTGTTTAAGCTTTATTTCCATTCTCTCCTTATAAATGTTGCTCCCTCCATCAAACCCTACACAATACAGCTGTTTGCTTGATGTGTCAGCCTGGGAACAGCTGTGATCTGTTGCCACTCCTCAACTCTCTCTGAGCTGTGCCCTCTGAATTCATTCATTCACTTAACAAAGTCAGTGTGTTTACACATTATGCACAGGACTTCTAAAAAAGATTTTGGAGGCCCTATAGCACTTCAGACTTATTAAAATGTTTTTGTAACCCATATAATTTTTTTTTTTGGCTATAACATTTTTTGAAAGGAATTTTTTTGCTTTCTGAATAATGTGGCTGAAAGCAACTCCTTTAAAATACCACTGGCTATGATTTCTTGTCAATAATGGGAAGTGATTAAATGTAACTTAAAAACAGTTTTTGAATATAATGAATTTTTGGTCAACACTAAATTTAATAATTAATAAACAAATCTACAAATTAGCAAATAATCATTAATGGTCAATGCTCTGTATTGCTAGGTTTTACCATTTATTAGTTTTAATTTCTCCATGTGTATTCTTTGGAACCAAAAATATTTTTTAACTTTCCAAAGTTTTCATAATGCATGGAAAAAAAGGTCTGAAAGTCCCTTCTCATTATCTTGTGGTGCTTATGCATAAAAGAAGCCTGATTTGTAGTCTTTCCACACATGCTCTCTATATGTTAGTCCTCTTCTATAATTGGTATGCTCTTGGTTATGCCAAAGGAGGAGTTTCTCTGAATTTCTTTTGACTGGAAAAACCATTTCTTAATTAAAGTGAAAGCCACAGAGGAAACCTCCATTGAGCTGAGTTACAAATGCCTATATTGGTTAAAGCATTAAACATTTTCTCACTTTGCCCCCAGCCCTTCCTAAGGAATAGGATAGGGGGTGTAGCTGCACAATTTAACCATTCTGTGGCCAATATCATGCCATTAATATCAATTTTATGATGAATATCATGTCTCAAAAGTGGTCCATGGAGTGGTCCACCAACTACAACTACTAAGAATCTATAAATAGACCTAAGAACAGAAATTGAGAGTATTTAGAATATTATAAAGGCAATTTGAGAGAGTTAATCTTATTCTGTGGAATTAAATAATAAAAAGTTGAGCTTACTTTTTAAAATTAGTTATCTTGTTTAGTGTATTTTTCAGTGGCATTAGATCATGATGGATCGGGGAGAAAATGGTCCTTCACCATAGATGGTTTGAGAAATGCTGATGTGCACTACCCTGAAATATAGGAAGTTCTTGGTGCATACTTCTTTCCATAAATAAACAGTAATCATCATGTGGTTTTAGCTGTAACTTACCAGTTTCCTTCTAGATCTGGAGTTTTCTCACTTAGCAAAGGTTTTTGTTCTGAAACATCTTGTATCTGTGGTACTGAAGAACTTCCTCTCAGTCCAAAGTATTTTAGAGAAAATCAATACAATCTTGTTAGCCAGTCAGTGATATAACTGCAAGCTTAAGTATATCTTATTCCAGAAAGTCAGAAGTATCTTCTTGCCCTTGGAAAATTGCCAAAGAATCAGTGTGAACACCAGAAGGAGACTCTTTCATCATGTGCCTCTATGATTTAGGATATACTGGGTGATATGTGAATGTTTTTGCCTTCACATATGACTACAATATGATTTCATGGGGTTTTCTAAATTCTCAGAATTTCTTTGTTTTAAACAGCAGGCTGTACTTAAACACAAATAGGCGAAGAACTCCCCTGTGATATTTTACCTGATTTTTTTTCTTGATGACTAGACTTTTTACCCTTGAAGATGATTAGATAGTTACCCTATAAGGAATACAAATGGAATGTTTAATTTATGAAAGCAACTTTTCTGGGGATTGAGATGGATTGAAATGCCAGATTAATTTTTAAAATCCTTTTACCCTACCATTCATTTCCATGCACCTGACTGAACTTTCAAGTATGCTGATTGACCTATCTCAGCAGGTACCCAGGCTGGCCGGAGGTTTTGTTTATCTAAATATTCATGGTTTTAAATAACTGAAGATCACAGAAAAGATTTAACCATGTAAAAAAAAAGCGGTAAAACAAGATAATCAACCTCTAATGACCTTGCTTCTGTTCTCATCTCTCATCCTTCCTGATCTTTCTTCATTATTAGATATTATTGACCACTTCTGCAATCTTGAATTTTTTCCCCTCTCAAGTCTCCACTGTGTCAGTTCACCCTGTTGCCTTTCTCTCCTCCTCAGCAACTTGCACCCTCCATTCTCCTGCCACTTCAGTGTAGCCATGGCTCATGTTTAATGCTAAGCCCTCCTCTTGACTGTATCTCACTTGGTTAGAGTGTGGCTTTGACTATCAGGTGAATGGCTGCTCAAAGGGGTTGGTATCTTCAGTTCTGATGTCATTCACTTCTTTCTCCTCTGCATTTCTGTCTACAGAATTCAGCATTACAGCACTCACTATACATACAAGAACTTCAGTGTTCCCAGTGAACAAATATTAAATAATTCAGCTAATGGTTTTCTTCTTTCAACAGGGACCAAGTCTATTTTGTGCCTTCTAGGCCCTTTGCAGCATTGTGTAGGGAAGGCAGTTGACGAGAAAGCTTTTGCTCTCAAGGAGCTTAAATTCCAGTAATGCACAGAGGTATTGAATTAAAAAAAATTTCAGTAATGCACTCACAGAATGAAATGAGTTCTCTACAAGAAGTATGCACAGTAAATGTGCTGTGGGAACATAGCATCAAAAGTTGGAAATCATTAAATGGGAGGACATTGAAGGCTGAGAAAATAGTGTGAATAAAAATGATAATATATACAGTCTGATTGAAAGTCAGGAAGTATTCTTTTGTTCATGAGGCTGAGAAATGAAGAAAAATTAAGACCTCAGTCATGGGAAGAATGGTATAAAACAAAAATCAGTAAGCAGAGAGGCCAGTAAATTTTAGAGTTGTTACAAAGATTATAAGCAATGATAATATAAACAATATTTCTTAGAAGAAAAGATACATAAAGGAGGAAGAAATAAAATCATTTGGAGAAAGAGCTCAGTTAAACTGTGAGATAGACGGAGAGGAGATTATCATATCTCATGGATGGAAATCATTATTGATTTTGATTTAGAAATATGGGCTCAAATGTATTTCTTACAATTATTACATAAAGTTGACAGTAGGATAAGCAGGATTGTGAGTAGTAAATCACTAGAAAAGAAGAAACAGCTAAGAAAAGTCATGCAGCAAGACGTAGGATTATAAAGAAGGGAAATAGCAAGAAGTATAAAAATAGAAAGCATATAATAAGATGACTGTAGTCATATCAGACAGATCACTTACAGTAATCATTATGACTGCTCCAAATGTCCCTGTTGTAAGACCAAGATTCCTAGGCTGGCCCCAGTATAAAACCCAAATATTATTATTTACATAGAACAGACTCACCTAAACCTGAATGACTAGGCAGTTCAGAATAAGGGGATGAGGTTGGACTCTATAAAAGTGTGTGTAAGACATACCTAGAGAAAAAGAAGGGAATTTCCAGCTTACATTCTACCCTACTCAGACATTCAGTGAGATTGAGAGAATTATTCACGCAAGGCTTCCAGTTGCACAGGGCTGCCCATCTGCGCTGCCGAGGAGTGGGGGCCGAAACTTAGCTGTGCCGAGGAAGAGAGCTAGGGTCCTGGGAGGAAAAGGTTAATTCCAACAGAGATGTCGCAGAGCTTCCCCAGGCCTGTGTCTGAGGGTCTGGGTCCCCCTTGGAGGCACTGCCATCTACAGAGCTGCCACTGGTCTAGCTGAGGGCCCTGAGAGTGTGTGTATTGCAGACTTTTCTGGCTTCTTTTCACTTTTAGATCTGCCTACTCCAGAGCCAGTGCTCTGGGTTCCTTTTCTCCATATGACAAGCTTAGGCAGAGACATTGTCTCTTGAATTAAAAGAGGCCCGAAGTTTATGCATGTAACTGGGGAGAGAAAGCTTTTGCTCTCAAGGAGCTTAAATTCCAGTAATGCACAGAGGTATTGAATTAAAAAAAATTTCAGTAATGCACTCACAGAATGAAATGAGTTCTCTACAAGAAGTATGCACAGTAAATGTGCTGTGGGAACATAGCATCAAAAGTTGGAAATCATTAAATGGGAGGACATTGAAGGCTGAGAAAATAGTGTGAATAAAAATGATAATATATACAGTCTGATTGAAAGTCAGGAAGTATTCTTTTGTTCATGAGGCTGAGAAATGAAGAAAAATTAAGACCTCAGTCATGGGAAGAATGGTATAAAACAAAAATCAGTAAGCAGAGAGGCCAGTAAATTTTAGAGTTGTTACAAAGATTATAAGCAATGATAATATAAACAATATTTCTTAGAAGAAAAGATACATAAAGGAGGAAGAAATAAAATCATTTGGAGAAAGAGCTCAGTTAAACTGTGAGATAGACGGAGAGGAGATTATCATATCTCATGGATGGAAATCATTATTGATTTTGATTTAGAAATATGGGCTCAAATGTATTTCTTACAATTATTACATAAAGTTGACAGTAGGATAAGCAGGATTGTGAGTAGTAAATCACTAGAAAAGAAGAAACAGCTAAGAAAAGTCATGCAGCAAGACGTAGGATTATAAAGAAGGGAAATAGCAAGAAGTATAAAAATAGAAAGCATATAATAAGATGACTGTAGTCATATCAGACAGATCACTTACA